AAGGAATTCGGACACATAGTAAAAATGAATGAGGAAAGGGGGACAAAGCAAATTTATACTGCAGAAGTGAGTGGCAGAGTCGGTACGAACACCCTAGACGGAATTTTATTGACCAAATTGGCGATATATTGAATATGAGCAAACTTAAGGGTAAATTTAACCGACGAGCATGTATGCGTATACATGGGTATCAAAAAAGCGAGAAAGATGTGTCAGTATCATGTCATGCCAAATGGAAGTCTGTACTGTTACCCCCCTGAGATTAACTGGCCAGAAGTCTTCGCCATTCCAAATCAAAAAGCTTCAACAGTTGCAGATAAACTAGTTCATGAAGTCTTCGGTCGTTTTGGAGTACCTTTAGAGATTCACAGCGATCAAGGAAGGAATTTTGAGTCTCAAATATTCCAGGAAACTTGCAGAGTTATGGGTACTCATAAAACAAGAACAACTTTTTACCACCCACAAACTGATGGTATGGTAGAACGATTTAATCAGACATTGGAGAGGTACCTATCAAAAGTTGTAGAAAAACGGCAACGAGACTGGGACAGGCAGATACAACCGTTAAATCCGATATTTGATATCAATGGCTAACACCAAAATATTGCCTTATGTTTTTGTTCAGGCGTTACTCTAAAAAAATACAATATGCCTATTTATCTACAAAATTCGTAAATGCATGTAACTAAATGACGATACAATAGTTATGGGATGTATCTAAGCGACCTTTATCCGAACTTTAAATGTGAATAGCGTTTATTGGTTAGGGTGCGAGAAGTTATCGAATCCGAGTCGAATTCGCTTTCCGAGACGATTGTGAATAGCCCGAATGGTGACAAACGAGCACACAGTCCACCTGATGGTAAGTGATTACTGTGACCCATAGATATCTATATCTATCTCAATAAAGACTCAAGATGCAGATGCGTTGTCACCTGTGAGGACTAATTTGGAATGCCTCTTTGCCAGTAAAAAGGGTCTCCGGTTCTCTACACTCACCCTACGAAACACAGCAGCGTTAAGCTGCTATTTTACGCTGGTTTTCTGTGAGAGCGTGGTCCTTCCCCGGTCGAGCCGACCCATTCGTGCTACAACCATAATATAGCTGCAGCATGGCTCTACCACGTAAACGCCTATACTTGCAGCACCTAATTAGCACTTAATTCCTTGCTATTAATATTTATAGTATGTCTAATAACTTCATTGCGTTGCTAGCGATACGTTTTGCTAGCAACGCAAATTTCAATCGTTGGTTGCGGTGAAAATTTTAAAACACCTATTTTTTGAACTTGGCACCTAACTAGCACCTAAAAAGCCACCAATTTTGGATTTTTCCAAATGCAAATTCCCGACTTTGCGTTGCTGGTGAGAGAACTCTACTAAATACTTTACGCCATTCAAAAAAAAACAATCCAATCCGAATACCTTATACTATTTTATGAGGGGTTTGCATACTACATCCAAATTACGTTTGACGGAGTCGAGAATATCTAGTCGGATCATAATATTCACGGACCGAAGTAAGTACTGTATTATTTGCATTACTTCTTCCGAATCGAAACAGAGGCATCACGTGGTTGATGGTGGTGTATCCAACACTCCTTATTTTTTCTGCGTCTTCGTACGTATACATATAATAACAGTGTAAAACAAAGAAGACATTATAAAAGACGTTAACACAGTATCTGAAACAGCACCGGATTAGCCAAAATTTATATCAACCATTGATATTATGCTTTGATAATACAAAACCTATCTACTACCTACTTTTTTAACTAATAACTCTAACTTTAGTTGTAGAAATGTGGAAGAAAGCTATCACGATACGATCTAAGCGTCTCGTCAATTACCTCCAGGAGTACTATTATTTATTGTGTCCTGGCTTATAGACTGGGCTAGACTAATCTAAATGTGACAAGAAAAATTGTGTATGGAGGGGTCTAATAAATGAGTGTGAAACTACACTTAAATCGTTATAGTTTAGATACCCAGCAGTCATCATCATTATCATTACAGCCCTTGTCAAGACAAGTCCACTGCTGTACAAAGGCCTCACCCATGGACTATGTCGGCTGTCAGTTACTTTTGGTTGTACTGAGTATATCCTCACTTCGAATTCTATCAGGCAGATAAAGTCCGAGCTTAGCCCGCTCCATAGCTCACTGAGCAACATATAGCTTCATAATACGATTAGTTTTCAATTTTTGAGCTACATATAGTACGTGTATCTCAATCTCCCGAACGTTGCCCAGCCGAGTTGGATCCGTTGATTAACCTCTCGGTGAAAGTCGGACTTATTCGGACAATTATTTTAGATGGACATACTCGTCAACGACTTCCGAAACGACCGAAGTTTACTTCGGTTTTCAGTAGTTTAGTTTAAGAAGAGCTATTTTCACGCAACTCTCCGCAAGTCTAAACAAGATATTGTGATTATTAGAGCCATAAAATCTCCTAGAAGATGTTCAGCAGTCCTTTGGTGTTGCCAACGATCTCGGGGAGTCACCTTGGGGTGCAGACATGCAGCAACACGTGGGCCGCCGTTCTTTCGAAAAACTGTCTGCAACACCACTATGGTGCATAAATAATAGAAAGGCAAGACTTTCACTTACACTCTTCTAAATTTTTCCTAAGCTAAGCATGTTAGTATAGTGCTTACGTAGCAGGAGAAAAACATTCCCAAAGGGAATCAAAAGGAATGGTTATGATCGGTTCCGCCCCTAAGGCGTCTAGAGGCGATCCTCCCCTGGATTTTTTATAGAATAACGGTGACAAACGAGTACACAAGTGAGTGGATGCTGTGGCCCATAGACATCTACATTTATCCTCAAGTAAGAATCAAAATGCACCCTTGAGGACTGGGACGGAATGCCCGTTTCCAGTAAAAAGGGTATCCGGTTCTCTACACTCACCATACGAAACACAGCAGCATTGAGCTGCTATTTTACGCTGGTATTCTGTGAGGGTGTGATCCTACTCCGGTCGAGCTGACCCATTCGTGCTGCAATCAAAATACACCCGCAGCATGGCTCTACCACGTAGTGCTAGTGGCTAGTTTGCCAGCTGCGATTTTTCGCCCCTAGATTCATTGCCCCTAGATCCGCTGTCCCTTGATCAATTGTAAAGTCACATTGATGCATTTACACACCTCATTTACTCGTTGATGGTACTAGTATATAAAGTTGTGTCTCACCAGCAACACAAAGTCAGGAATTCGCATTTTTTAAAAAAGCCAAAATTAGGGCCTTTTTAGATGCTAAATAGGTGCACTTTAAAAATTAGTTTTCACCGCAACGAACTGTTGAAATTTATGTTGCTGATAAAACGTATCGCTAGCAATGCAGTCACGATAACAGATATATGATAAATATTAATAGCAAGGAATTAAGTGCTAATTAAGTGCTGAAAGATTGGACAGATTCTGATGATTCTTTTTTTTTATTACATATGTTTATACTTTAAGGGAATTATTGTTGACTATTTAATATATATATAAAGAGAAAAAAATCTATATCTAATGGTGGTGAAATAAGGAGGTGAAGTTTTTAATGTCCTTTTTAGACGATATTGAGATTTAGATATTCCTTAGTCCTTGGTTTTTCAGAAAAAGGCTCATTCAGGTATCTGAATATAGAATTTTGAGTTAAACTCGAGATTGTCTCAGAATACTTGCCTAAGGCTCAATTTACATTGCGGCGGAATGGAATGGAAGCGAATTACATCATACATAGTAAAATGATTTTATATTAATTGCTTAATGTGCAAACTAGATATGATAAAAAAAGTCACGCGTCTTCCATGGAATTCCTAAGTAACATAAAATTCATTTTACTATGTACAATTCCATTACACAAATTTGCTTCCATTCCATTGCGCCGCAATATTTAATGAGTCTAAGAGTATGATCTTTTTGGATTCTTCTGCAGTGGGTCTTGCTATGAAGTTTCTACAATTTGTCATTTATAGCATCTACTGTATTGCTAACTTTTAGGCACTGAAGACGACCACCAACAACTACTACCAAGGAGTACCAAGTAGTAGTCAGAATTATTTAGAGTTAATAAATTACAGAACCATACAAAACATTACAATTAATTACAACTATTATTATTACTTTTATTCAATTCACAGAGGAATATATTATCTGTCATATGAAAAAAGTTTGGGATGGTGGTATGGACTCTTTTATATGCATACAGTATGCAGAACCATTTTCTTTAGTGCCTAGCTAAATTAAGCTGACTCTTACAAGAACTATTTTAATATTTAAGGTTACACCGGAACCCCAGTTTATACCCAAAATCACTCTGTTGTAAAATAAATTTATTTTGTTAACTGAACCAACCAGCATTTGTAACTTAGTAGAAAACCCATAACCTAAACATTTATCATGTACAGATTGTATTTAATTATAAAATAAATTAATATTTAAAGAATATAAACTTGTAAACATTTATAGATACTAATGACTCATAGATGCCAACAAATCATGTAATCATGTAAAAATATTGTCAATAACAGTTAAAAACAATGATTCACAAAAAACTAATAATACAATATCTCAACATTAAGAAACAAAAAAAAATATTCATTCAGATAATAATAATATTATGTACATTAAATATTTCTCTATTACTTAATGCTATTGTAATATTATACCCTGTGCAAAAGACAGTTTTTCACTGAAAATAATAACAATGATTGCATTAGAAAAAATAAACATTAACCCATTTTAAATCAGATTTAAAATAATGCTGAGACTGTACAAACTTTGGTATATAAAGCATAAATAAAATATCCAATAATAAAAATTAACACTAAATAGTAAAAGTAACAATGTATATGATATAGATATTTCCATTATTATCAAATGATAATTTGTTCAGAGATTATAATAAAAACAAGATCAACTAAAATTCACATATATTAATTACAATTTAAATGTAGGTGACACTTATTTTTATCACAGGATGTTAATATTACTCGGCCTATTTTAATCCTTAATCATCCCAATTGACTTGGTGGCAGTCGTGCCACACAAATGTGCCTTTTAGAGTTTGAGGGGCATCTAGTGCTAGGTAAAGAGGTGCACGAGCCCCACGTTCCGGTGTAAAATCACCCATACCATTAGTCATATCAGTTTTAATAAATCCAGGATGCACACAGTTGATTGAAATGTTTTTACCCTGTTTAATGAATTCATATTGCTGTACAAATGTTAAGGCTGACATAGCCACTTTAGACACTTTATAATCTCCATAATGACCAGCAAATGAGATGTACGAGTTTTTACCATTCTTTGCAGCTTGAAGAAAATCATTTACAAACTGTAAAATCTCATCGACGGTCAGATCTTCCTTTATCAATGTATCTAACCAATGTTGCTTTCGGATGTTCGAGAGCAAACCCCAATCGCTGCTTATATTAATTACACGAGCATCATTATTTAGCAGAGGATAAAGAAATTTTGATATAGTAAGCAAGCTATAAAAATTGGTGTTCATTAATTTTTTTGCATCCTCAAACGATGTTACAGGTTTATCAAAATCGAGAACGCCAGCGTTATTCACCAGAATATCGATACCCGAATGGTGATCGGATATGTATTTTGCAAACTCTTGAATACTATTTTCACTTGTAACGTCTAGAATGTGAAACAAAGGTTTTAAACCTAACTTCTCCAACTTTTTCACGGCTTGTCGTCCTCGCTCTTCGTTTCTAGCTGTAAGGTACACAGTGCCATCGAATCTACTGCATAAACCCTTGACAATCTCGAATCCAATACCTTTATTACTTCCAGTTACTATTGCTACTTTGGTTACCATTGTGTTTAAAACAATTCAGAAACTATGAATCAACACACAGCATACCTAACCTATAACGCCGTAAAAATAAATATTTATCGTTTTCGTTTGTTCGCGTTCTTGACAATTATTTGACAGTTGACACAAAGATAATATATATTATATAATATATATAAGTATAATTTGACATTTTACAACGCAGCAGTGTTGCTATCGTAAAAATCTGAGCTAGTCGTATATCACAAACTGGTTTGCCTTATTTTAAGGTAAAAATAAATAAATTGCCGTATTTCATTATTTACTTTAAAATTATCTAGTCCTCATTTGTTTCTCCTCCGTAAAAGTTTCTTTTTTTGTTGGTTGTTTGTCATAATTCGTCGAAAAGTTGAAAATTCACACGATAATTTAACGTCAGACAGTGTGCACTTTTATCTATAGGGATCATTATCAACAAGAGCAATCCAGTAATCAAAAAACACCCACGCTTCTACTGTTAACGATACTTCTGTTTTATATGTTTACCCTTTTTTCTACCAACTTTAAAAAGGAGGGTGTATGTATTTTTTAACGTATGTTATAACTTTTTTCTGGGTGAACCGATTTCGATGATTCTTTTTTTATTTGAAAGCTGGTGATACGGTTAATCAAGTTCTAAACAATAGCTTTTGGGTTATTCTTAATAATTTAAATTGAAGTCTGTTGTACAACAATTTAAATTTTAAATAATGTCTTTTTGGTGAAATAGGGCCTTCAGAGTTACATTCACTCATATTACCGATTATTAATTACAATACGTTTGTAACTGTATGTTTGCAGTCGGGATTTCCCCGGCTTTGTTCATAAAAGTAGAACCCATATAAAAATCGTTTCATTCATTATACTTGTGGGAAAATGTTTCCTTTCACCTTAGTCAATTTCCGTATGGCAATGAGGGCTAGTAATTTTCTGCTCACCAGATATCGCTAGTGGACACTGAGGTAAAGTTTTTTGTTACACAATGTCATTTAATTCTTCGTTGACGCGTACCTACAATAATAAGCTTAATTCAATTATAGTATAGATAAAAAAAACTTGTTGCAATCGTATTTAACAAGTATTCGTTTTTTTATTAGCCATCATCATTTACGACCCGTAATAAAACGATGTCAGGTAAAAAAATAATTATTGTAATCAATCTAACTGTTGATTTCCCACAATAGCAAAACTTTCATAATCATTAAAAATGACACTGTTTTTTGGGTGCAAATTAATATCAATAGGTACACTAAGTTGAAATTATGAAAAATACTGAGAAGTATGAGTAATTGATACACTACAACACAGTAAAAATAATATTGATGTCTTTTTTCTTTTCCTTAACTTTTGATAAAGATGAATTGATTGACGACTCTTTTGGTAAAATCGGTCTAATGGGCTGCTTCAGTGAAACATGCAAACGTGGTAGAGCCACGGGCCACGCTGCAACTATATTATAGTTGTAGCACGAATGAGTCGGCTCGACCGGGTTAGGATCATGCTCTCACAGAATACCAGCGTCAAATAGCCGCTTAATGCTGCTGTATTTCGTATGGCGAGTGTAGAGAACCGGAGACCCTTTTTACTGGAAATGAGGCATTCCATCTCAGTCCTCAGGGGTGACAACGCATCTGCATTTTGATTCTTCATCGAGGATAAATGTAGATGTCTATGGCCAACAGCATCCACTTAGCATTGGGTGGACTGTGTGCTCGTGTCACCTATATAGTATATAAAAAAACATCAATACAAACATACATACAATGTCAAGTACAGAACCCTTTCTAGTCGTAATCGGTTAAAAATATAGGTTGAAAGTGACAACTCTTGGTTGTAGCAAAACATGGCAAAGTAACAGTCACATCGTGATATCACTAGTATGGTAACTTTGCCAAGTTAGTTTTATAGATAAATGCTAAGACCAACATGTTAAAAACGATATATTACATTTGATAACCATTAATATTACGTTACTACAAAGATATAAATATTTTTGTGTTATTGATTTTAAATATTTCAGTATTTCAAACAAAATCAACAAAAGTTCTGGAGCACTGAACAAAGAGTTACAATTCCGCATTAAAATAAAATGCCATATTAACTCTCATGTTGCCATATCGAAAGCAATGCTGCCAATCAGTTCAATAAGTAATATAAATCAATAAAAATACATTTATTTCATCCAAAAATGGCATATATCGAAAAACGTTACATTTTCCGTGTTAATCGTAATTTTATAACAGTGCACCCCTGGTGGCAAAATTAACTTCCATTGGTAGTTTCCAGCCTTCACTGTAAAAGAGGAGCAGCAATCCAACATCAGTCAAGTTCCCGCCAACACTCCTTGTTATGTCATTTTTAGTTTGTGGTATTCATCTGGGGGCAAGGCAGTCCCCCCGCCAAGTCGAGCAAAAAAGCGGCACGGCTGTACCAATCCTTTTCTCGAAAGAGTTCAAGCCATTTTCGACCCCCTATAACTTCGTTATGAATAAAACTAGACGCCTGAGTTTTCAGTAATCAAGCATGCATTGTATAAACACGGTATAATTCAAATTTCATTCAATTTGAACCAGTAGTTTAAGAATTATAGCTAGTTAAATTTTTTTTAATTTTGTCATACACTGACTGAACGATCATCAAAACTCTAAGGCACTTCTAGCATCTAGAGAAGCTTCAAATTTAGAATAAAATTAGTGTTTAGTGTATAAATCAAGGAAAAACTAAAATATTTCGTAATTTCGGTTCAGTTTTCTAGATACACCAACTGCATAAATAACTTTGTAATCCTATATACGATTACAAAGTTACATTTGCTGTGAATGAATCAGTGTACCTGTATATGAAAAATATAATGGAATAATAGATGTAGATAGGTACCTAGATATAATTATGTACAAAGGTAACTTGTAAAATGGTCAACGGAATGCAAAAGCAAGAATGGGACATGTCTTATGAAGTTGTATCAAAATCCCGCAAAGTATTAAGTAGACTAAATTGCCCGACAATCCGTAGTTGGTATTCAAGTAGATGGTACCGGAAAGGAAAAAAGTCGGACTATCTACAAAAAGAAATGAGATGCCATCAAAAACATAACTTGTAAAAAAAACCAAGTCTCGCAACTCAGTTCTTCTACCGTAAAAAGTTGTGAGATCCATGTAACACCAAGTCGGTTAATTTATTCAGTCCCTACTTAAGGGTCCTTGTGTACTATTATTTATTCTGTGCTTATGTCTCAAGGTATTACATACCTAATTAGCTAACCTAATAACATTTTATAGTGACCATATCAATATTAAAAATCTTTTATGTTTTAAATAAATAGATTGAACTTAAATAGAGAAAACAATCTAATTTAATATAATATGTATAACTTGTGAGATACATTAGTGCACATTAGTGTTTTCATGCGATGGCCAAGTATGTTTATTATATATTTATTTAAAACATAAAAGATTTTTAATATTGACATGGTCACTATAAGATATTGTTAGGTTAGCTAAACATGGATCTCACAACTTTTTACGGTAGAAGAACTGAGTTGCGAGACTTGGTTTTTCTTACAAGTTATGTTTTTGATGGCATTGATTTTTCTTCAATAATGAACTCGTATCATTGAACGGTAATACGTTTGTAGTTTTACCAGTGTCAAGTAGTAGAAAATTATATTTAAAATTAAAAGAAAAATAGATTTCCTAATTTCAACATGGTTAACATTTAAACTGTTTAATTTTACCAAGTGTTTTTGACACTTTACTAAGTGGTAGAACTCCTTTTCTACCTAGGACTCCGTATGGGTAGTTACCACCCTGGGTAGTTTCCATCACTTTTTATTTCTGCCGCGAAACAACAGTGAAAATAAGAAAGAAGGAAAGTGACATTTATTTGGCACATACAGACAAACATATGCAGATTTAATAAATAGAAATAAAAAAAAAACAACAATGAGTAACTATATACCGACAACACAAAAAACAGACGATGAAAAATGCAATATAAAAAACAAACGTTCATTACTTTTTCAAACTAATGAAACAACAAGCAGTGTTGCCACCAGTTAAGCTCTCCACCAGAAAACTTCTAATAAAAAGCCACCCTATGCTCATAATCCCTAAATTTTGCACCAAGCAAATTTTCGTTTATTACGAAAGAAGCTACACTCGATGTCTCATGAAACATAGAAAAAGTCGGCTCTGAAAAGAGCTATTTTCTGCCGACTTCCAAAAAGGAGACGGTACTCAATTCGAGTGTATGTTTTTTTTTATGTGTGTTACCTCATAACTTTGTACTGGGGAAACCGATTTCGATGATTCTTTTTTATATGAAAGCTGATAGTTCTCGTGTGGTACCATATGAATTTGATCAAGGTCAGACCAATGGTTATTGAGTTATTCTTAAATAACTTATATTGTAGTCGCTTATATTGAAGTCTGCTGTACAAAATTTTTAATTATAAATTATATTATCAGCACAAAGCATGATATTGTTCTTTAAGATGTTTTACGAAGATGTTAACACACACAGTAGGAATGTAGATCCGTCTGAAGCGAGTGCTCTGAAGAAATGGGATGCTTCCCTTTTTGGCGTCCATAAGCAAAGTAAAGGGCTCTTGGAAGAGGGGGAGAAAGGTGGTAAATGCTCTAAGCATACCACGCAGCCGGCTGTGTGGTTATGTAGGTCTTACTATGAAAACTAAGTGCCTACCTACTAAACACCACCTGGGACTGGCTTTGGCCTGGAGGGCCTTTCAGCGGTATCGGAAGCGACCCTCCTTAGGGAAAGGGGGCGCAGATACGCTTCCCACTGAGCCACTGCGTTTTATACCTCCGCAGTTCGCGTCGAATTCGAAGTCACACATGCTGCACTGCTGTTACCAGAAATCGGGCAACACGCAAATTCCTTTCGCCGAAATTTTACGACCAATCACGTCTTTGTTAATAATAAGATTTTAATTCGTTTTTATAATTTTAAGATTGTAAATATTTTAAAGTAGGTATTTTTATTGGTTA